CTGCTGCACCCATGGTACGGCAGCAAAGTTCCTTGATTATTACGCCGGAATGAGAGTATAGTTCCTAGCCATATCGGCCTAGAAAATCGCAACTTTTAATTTTCCGTCGGTCTTAGTACACAATGTAACTACAGAAGAGTCAAGTTTTAAATAGGAAAAATATAGAAACTCTTTGGCCATTTTTGAGCGAGATGCTAACGGTCTAATCGGATTCAATGATCTATGCTAAGCTAAGCTAAAAGTGCTACCGCCAGACCCGGAGATCGGCTGAATGGATTCGAAAACAGTCTATTTTCAAAAAAAGTGGAGTGTTCCTTTAACAAAAAAATATTAAACTTGAATAATTAAGGTTAATATGAAAAATATTAGGATTATTTTAAAAACTATATTTAAAAAAGTTAATAATTTAACTACATTAAGTTACAATAAATGTGGCTAATGTGCAATCAAATTTGTTCTGAACAACAGCATTTTCTAACAAATGGTGTGGTTGTCTGATGAAAGCCTGACATTGATGAAATTCCCTTACTGTCCAGCAGAGGGCAGCAGGTACATGGTAAAGACACATGGAAGACATTTTCTCTCCTCTCAAGTGCAGTGAATTCTGGGAATTCAGTGCACACTGACATTCCTGAATAAGATGTAGATCAGCTGACTTTTTAGTATTTTGCGACGGCGCTGCGCTGATGCCACGTAACACTATGAATCTGTAACTCCTTTACCGTGTTACAAAACCAAGTCACCTTGAAACTGAGACAGTAACATTCGTTCGAAACCAACTTTCTTGCTTCCTGACACATGCTCAAATATACATGCTACACAAAGAATGAATGATATTGCCAAGGAGAAGTCTGGGTCAGGCACCCTCAAGGGGGGAATATGTACCTTTTTGGTAGGTGAAGTTGGGGTGGTCACCTGGTTGCTTGGGGTAGTTGGGGACATGACGGTGGTACTAGGAATCGCAGGTGCAGGTGTACTGTTGGAAATGCTCGACGGAACAGAAGACTTGGTCTTGTCTGGAAAAAAATTAAAAAAATAAACGGTGAGTAAATGACCTTACAGATTAGCACAAAGCTAGTTGGGAAAGTGTCGCGGACAATGTTTCAAACAGGTACCTGCTTCGTTCTCAGACTCTGAGTCTTCCTCCTCCTCTTCCTCACTAGAGCAGCTAGACTCATCCTTCTTCCCCTCCCCCTCTTCTTCATCAACCTTCTCTGGCTCCAGAGTCTCGATTCGTGGGGCAGTTTTCTCTGGCTCCAGTAGAAGTGTTTCTTTACTAAAGCACAGATGCACAGCTTGGTTAGGTTTTGCCATTTAAAATGGATTAAGAACCAGAGCTGAACTCTAGACCACTTTTTCAAGCAGACTCCGCTGCGCACCTGAGTTTGGAAAAAACATTTTCATCAACCAAACTCTGATTGCAAACATATTTGTGTCCACACCAAGAGCTCTAGTGTGAAAACACCCCTAGTCAACTCAGGTGCATGTTTCCTTCCTTCGCATTTATGGTAAAGTCAAGACACTGAGTAAACAGTATATCAATCCCATCATGGTGGTTTCTCTCTAGTGAGCAGGAGCCATTTACCTCTTCAGTGGTTTCACAGATTGATTATTGTCCCCAGTAGTCGTAGTTTCTATTAAAGGAGACTTCTTAACATCCTTCTTTTCGCTCAGAAGCTGAAACACAGGCCATATCAAGACAAAGCTCACAATTACCAAGCCAAATTACATTTACAATTAAAGATCTGATGAGAGTGAGAAATTACCAGATTCTGTTTCTTTTGCAGCTCTTCTAAATATCCCAAGATATCTTCATCAGCTACGTCAAACGCCGTCTGACCCTGGGAACCAAAACGCGACATTGTAAGGGTTAAATTCAAAGACTACACAGAAGCTAGCAGCACAGACAGAACCATACATCCCATACCACTTTATTGATGATGTCCATTTCACACAAATGCTCTACTAGTATCCGGCAGGCCTCTTCTTTGCCCCAGTGTGCAGCAGCGTGGAGCGGAGACCAGCCATCGTAGTCTTTAATATTTACATCATACCCTGCTTGGATTAAAAGCCTGCAAACAGTCAGAGACGAAAGAAATAGCATGATGAGATTAGACAAATCTGGGTTTCTTGGATTTTGGTGCCGCAATCTAAGCTTGGCCTCATTTGCCAAAGGCCTGGGATATTGTGTGGACCAATGGGCTCATTTTTCTATTGCCTAGAAGACAGGTTATGCATGCCAACAGTTAGTCGTCAGTGGTCACACATAAAAATACGCATTAGATGTGAAGTTTTCTGAGATTCCACACCCAAAAAAGCAGTCTATCCGGTTACAATCCTCTCGTTTTGGTGCAGCGGCAGATGGAGCAGTTGTCACAGTCATTCAACTCTGACATCCAAAGGCACCATAAACAGAGACGCTGCCTAACTCCTGACACACGTCCTGAGCTGTGTTTGTTCAACAGCTCACGATAATCTACTGTAATGGAGACAGATAAACAGGTTACAAACTGTCTCGCCCTGCGTACAAGACCCTTGGGATACTGAAAGAGTTGAAAGGTGAAGTATGGGATGACCCAAGTAAAGCAATAAAGCCTCTACACCTGCAATACCAAAGTTTCATTTGTTTCTACCTCCACTAGCTGCTAAATCTCACTTGCTGGCAAAAAAAATAAAGACAAATATTATCACGTTGAATCCTTTGTGGATGGCAAAATCTTTCTTTTGAAGGCAAGCAAACTTACTTTAAAACCTCAGTGTATCCCTTGGCTGCAGCGACGTGTAGTGCGGTCCCCCCAGACTTGGCGTGCCGGACGTCATTGATCTGGCCGCTGTTAAGCCACTGTCGCACATCCCTTAGCATGATCCGCTCCTCCTCTTTCCTGGCTGACTCGATATCCACGCCTGGAGCAAGATGGAGGGAGAGGCAGATCCTTAGGATTAGTAAATACACTTAACCTGCCCAAACTGTAAGACATCCACGAAGGCTAACTATACGCAAAGCAAAATATATATGGCACTTCGGCATGGTAAGTTGTTTTTTTTTGATGGGCTAAGAATGTTGAATGGCTCACGCCATTGTGTTTCACTCCAATTACCAACCACAGAGGTTGACTACAGTGTAACAAGGTAAACAGTTTCAGGAATGACTAGTGTGTCTACTCTAAATAGTGTCCAAGGTTAAGTTTGTGAGAAAAAATAATTGTGCCTATTAGGCTAAAAACTGTACATAACGTTAAACATCAAAAATCAAATATTAAATAAAAAAATAAATAAAAAACGAAATAAACAGCTTTTATTGACTACCATCTGATAAGACAGTGCATTCAAAATACAATATACATTCTTTAAACTACCAGGAAGTTCACATTCTAAGGTTTACTTTGATATCATCACTTAACATTCAAGTGTGCATAAAAATATTCGATGCATACTTGAATTATTTTTATTGTTCCGAAAACACAACGTGTAAACTAGTCCACACTGGAGGACTGCCAAATGGGTCACTGTGCCTCTAGTCTATATAACCTGAAATTTACTTAGGCATGCAGAGACCTGACAGCATTAAGCTAAACAGGAAACAACAATAGAAACTTTGCAGCATGTAACTTTGAAGTAAGCGACCATTTACCATGTCTCTAAATGCTTAGCAACATCTCCACTGAGAGCTAAACCAAAACAAGATCAATGCTTTATATATACAGAAATATAGCTGACAGCTAGTTGACCTTTCATTTTTGTCAAAATACTGAATGTAAAAGGAGGCATCTCAGATTACAAATGAACAGCGTGAGGATCATGCCACATCCCTTATATGGCTACAAGCCCGACTGAATGGCCGGCAGGTGCGGCTGCAGGGGGAAATCAACTTCGATGTGATTAAAATGACAGATTCTGATTAGTTTTGTTGAAGAGATGGGGTCCACATTTGACCAAAGAGTTGGAAGTAAGTGAAAAAGATGGGGCCATAGGACAGACATCTGTAGGAATTCCTGTGCAAATCCCATGACAGAGCTGTTCTGTGTTGCAAGAAAATTCCAATCGTGGGAAGAAATAAGGAGAGTTAAGGACATGGCTTCATCAAGAGAAGCCTCAATATAATAGTCTTTTCTGGTGTAAATGGGTGATGGACAGTAATTCTCCAAAACTCTTGAGAGATTTGTATTTGAGGTTAGGAATACGGTTACAGCTGGTCTCCAAATACAAATCCAGTTTCCTTATAATTAAATACTTAAAATTCATGGTATTACCATGTATGCACTGATATAAAAATTCTGGTTGATACAGATAAGCTAGGGCTGAACGATTAATTGCATTTGCGATAATATCGCGATATGAAATAACACGATTTTTCAATCGCAGAGGCTGCGATTACACGGTCACGTGACAGGCGAGAGTAAAGAGGTGTGTTCAACTTGAAGATCAGATCGGTGTATGACATCAAAGTATGACGAGAGAAAGCAAAAGGAGACGTCCGCGCTCTCATCGGTCTAAGCAGCGCTGCTTCAAGTCGAGCGCGGGCCATCAGCAGAAAAAGAAAAGAAATAAAACGGTAAACAGCCAAAGGACGTAACTTAGAATGGGAGATGGATCGGTGTGTGAAAGGGAAGAGAAAAGTCATAGATGAAGTCGCACAGACCCAGGCAGGTGCTGGTCATTCAAAAGCTAAATGCAGAAAATATGACGAGGCATATCTTGCTCTCGGCTTCTCTCACCGTGTCTATACCATACGCTAAAGTTGTGCGTCGCGCCACAACAGCTCTACACTGGACGCGACAAAGCGGCCGTTGCAAATCATTTTAACTTTGTGTCAGTACGTCATAAATGGAACAAGGCACCAGTTTAATGTCATGCCGCATCCAGTGTAGACAGCGTCACTGATTATAATGGTTTCTACTGTATTTTGCTGCTCGTGTCCAGTGTAGACACGGTGTTTAAAGTCGTTGGTGAGGAGGAAAGCCTGTGTGTGTCCTATGCCTTAGCGGACAGCATGAAACCCACAAAAAAATGTATAAATAACAGAGAGAATAATAATAATAATAATAATAATAAGTTATTCTCTCTATGCTATTTTTCAATGTTTCAAGTGATGCAGGTGTTTTTTTCCCTGTAGGTTTTTT